TATATAAAAAAAGTATACATCAACATTACAGACATAATATTTATTTCATCAAATATTTTGAGCACTACCACTTGTACACATTCATACATAAATACCTAATCGAGAGAGAGAAAGAGAGAGAGAGAGGGAGATATGTTATAAAATCATTTAGGAGAAACGCTTGATTTGTATGTTTCATTATAAAATCATTTAGGAGAAACGCTTGATTTGTATGTTTCAGGTGGAGGTGCTAGAACTGCTCATGCTAAAACTTGGTTCAATAGTACCAGTAACTATACAACCAAAGTCAACTTTGAGAAAAGGGTTCGTCAATATTTTGATTTTGATTTTATCTTTGATGTAACTATTCATGCAAATAATGTCATGATCATTTTTCATTTATTTAGTATATACTACCAACAAATGCAAAAGTATCGTGTATCCTTGTTCCCTTTAATCATAGGCGACGGCACAGTGTGAACCCGGTAAGCACATTGCTTAGGCCCGGTAAACACTTTTCATGCAAGGAATCTTATGATTGGGCATGTAAATTCGCCAGAATTTAGCCTATTATTTTGTTAAAATTAGTAGATAAACATTCAAAACACTGAGGCATTTTAACAAGTAAATTTGTAATTTAATATTGAATAGAGATATACATCAGGAACATCAGTGGAATGACGGTTGCTCAACCGTGATATTCTATTGTATACTAGTACATTGAAAAGTATCATGTTTATAATTCGTTATCAGTTTTATCATGTTATTCATATTTTACATTGAATTGTAGAAAAATACAAATAAATGGTTAAAATTGCAGTGATTTTAAAATTTTTTTTTATTGTAGTGGCCTTCGCCTGCTCAGTACAGTAGCAAGCCACTCCTGGGAAGGAGACATTACACGCTACCAGATTTCCCAGTCTACACTATTGGAGTCAGATCTAATTTTGTAATTAACAAAAAAGGTACATTTTACAATCGTATTTCTTATAATATGAATTTAGATAAAAATATAAATGTTATAATTATTTATTATTAAATTATTATAAAATGATAATTATATATAATATATATATATATATATAAAATTAATAAAATTGTTTCATAAACTATTAGCGAAGTGCAAATTTATAATTATTTATTATTAAATTATTATAAAATAATAATACATAGTATATATATATATATATATATATATATATATATATATATAATTAATAAAATTGTTTCATCAACTATTAGCGAAGTGCAAATAAATTCAAATTCACATAATATAAATATTAAATATTATTATTATTGATAATCACAATAATATTTAATATAAATATTAAATATTATTGTGATTATCAATGTGATACCACATCACCTGCTGCAACATCTGCCTCTATACAACGATACTGATCGCAATGTTATAATTTAAATACCAATAGTAAGTTCCGAAGTACTGATGTAATGAATTGTTGAAAGCAGGCCACTTTAATGTCTGCTTGCTATTATTAAGCTTTCTTAGAAAAGGGGTGCTTATTATTCAACTGAACCTGATTTTAATACCTTCCACATGTATGATTTCCAAAATTGTACCTAAGGTACTATAATTCAAAAAGCATTTTTATTCAAACAAGCATTGTAATTAAGCACCCTTTTGCAAAATTGTGGCTATGGCAAAACCAGCCGTTTGTAAGAAAAATTATAAATTGAGGTTTTTGTTTTTAAATTCTGCATGAGTTTTTCTTGATCAACTATTAGCAAAGTGCAAATTTAGAATAAAATATAAATGTTATAATTATTTATTATTAAATTATTATAAAATAATAATACATAGTATATATATATATATATATATATATATATATATATATATAATTAATAAAATTGTTTCATCAACTATTAGCGAAGTGCAAATAAATTCAAATTCACATAATATAAATATTAAATATTATGTTTTTCATCTGTGGTATCAATGTGATACCACATCACCGGCTGCAACATCTGCCTCTATACAATGATACTGATCGCAATGTTAATTATAAGTTAAATACCAATAATAGGTTCCGATGTACTGATGTAATGAATTGTTGAAAGCAGGCCACTTTAATGTCTGCTTGCTATTATTAAGCTTTCTTAGAAAAGGGGTGCTTATTATTCAACTGAACCTGATTTTAATACCTTCCACATGTATGATTTCCAAAATACTATAATTCAAAAAGCATTTTTATTCAAACAAGCATTGTAATTAAGCACCCTTTTGCAAAATTGTGGCTATGGCAAAACCAGCCGTTTGTAAGAAAAATTATAAATTGAGGTTTTTGTTTTTAGATTCTGCATGAGTTTTTCTTGAACACCAGTGTTTATTTGATGGAAATTGGTTGAGTATTAGCGAAGTTATGAATATTTAATTAATTGAATATCAGCCATGTAGATTTTGAAAAAACAGCTTCCAAAGATTCCAAAATCAATGGTTTAAAATTTGTATTTTAAAAATAATTTTAATATACTTTTCAGTTATAGATTTAGTGGCTGATATTTTGCAGAAATGTTCTTCAATATATCTTTTTTATAAAAACATGAATTCTGATTCTCTAATGCTTTTAGGCGCTTGTGGGAAATATGAAATTGCAAAAAAAGACATTTTTTATCAGAGCCAGTCACAATTATCAAAGCACTATATATGTACAGCGGTAATAGGCCAAAATAAAACCTTGGAATTATTCACTAACCCTGCCCCATAGACATCGTTGGAAGATCCCACAAGAGCAGGAGAAGATCCAGTTGGAGGGGCGGGCACATTCCCCCTCCGCTGTTTTGCCAATAAATTTTAAAAATTTCAATGTATATAAATGTTATCTGCTACTCACTTATCTATTCTGCCCCCATTTGAAAAATTATGGATCCGCCCGAGCACAAGACAATAGCTATTCATAAAGAAACATGGTCGTAAACGTAAATGTGTATTTGTGCGACATATGTATTCCTGGACGCCTAAAAGCATCCATCACAGTTTATTACCCTGTGATAGAGGGCGCAAAGGTGAATTGGGGGTCAAGATTATTAGTTGAGGGTTGCTAACTCACAAAATAGGATGAGGATATGAGGTGATTTTTAACTATTTCAGTGTGGTTTTTTTTTGCTTTGAAGATTTTCAATAGGGGATGAATTGAGGGTGGGGACACAAACTTTTTTTGGAGGGACATGCACACCGCCCTACGCAGCCCTAGATACTCTTGAATAAGTGGGATCATGCGGCACAGTTGTTTCCGTGCATATGCAAGATTCTACTTTTACCCTCATGCCTAAAGGAATATAGGTAAAAATGGCCCCGGAAAAAATGGCCCAGGAAAAATTTTTTCTTGGGCCATTTTTTCCGGGGCCGTACACCGCCTAACAAGAGCTGCAAACACAATTACAATATAAAAATAGCACTGATTATGTAGCTGAGTATTCAAAAGAAAGCCATTGTAAAACTTGCCCTTAGGTACTTTGGAAATGCTCTGATAAACCAGCCTAATTATTCTTTCTGGGCACAATTTGCTTTGTCAGACTTGTCAGACCCATCATGACATACTGTAATAAGTTGTGTAAGTGGTTCATGTCAAAAATATTCTTTACATATATTTTTTTTCTACCACATACTAATTGGTGCAATACATACAATAAAAGAGGTGAACTTATGACATGTTATTTTCTGTTTCCTATTCATTTTTTTGAAGATATATGAAGATTTTTTATTTTGTAAAGAATGGAATTATTGTATGCCTATTAGCTCTTGGGGAAAAGCCATAGAGGCTTTTTTGATTGATCTGTGACACTTCCAAAAGGTGTATGTATATGTATAAAAAGAAAGTTTCTCTTTTATTTAAGCATCATTAGGCATCCTGATAATAAATAAAAGCGAAACATTTTTTTTAAAAAACAAAATGGCCTTGTCAATTTTTAAAGTGACATACTTAAAATCAGTGCACATCCTAATGATATGTCATTACTGTATGTCAGTCATTATAACTTTTTAATGTTGGTCTATACTGTTGCAGGTGCAGATCCCCCCTCTCCCCGTTTTGACACTAAATTTTAGTACATATCAATGTAATGTATTGAAATAAGAAAAAAAAGTAATACAAGCCCGTAGCCAGGATTTTGGTAGGGGGAGTTCTTTTTGATACTGAAAGGGCACTTGCGAGCACCATTGGCTGGGGCCAGGGGGGCTGCCAAGGGCCCCGGGGGGTCCAGGGCCAAAACCCTGGGGAGGTCCAGCATTCTAAGCATTTACAGGTGTTATTTAATTGATTTGAGAGGCCATACATTAAAAAAAATGTATATATTAAAGAGGTAATTTTTTGAGTTGGGAAAAGATAAAAAAAAAAAAAAAAAAATTACTACTTTAGTACTACAGTAAATTTGGTAATTTAACAACAGTAGCATGATACAAACTCCAAAGAATCCAGTATGATTTATTCTTTATTTTTTATTTATATAGCACATTGGAAGTTGTATCATACTATACTCACTTAAGACAATCAATAACAAAAAGAACCGAGACAAATTTGTATGGTTGGTTGTAGCGTATTATAATCATATATATATATACACAGGTGAAACTATCCCCCGCCGGACACCATCCCGGTATCGAGTCAAGGTTTCGGGGCCTGAATTTTTTATGTTACTAGGTAGGCCTAACAATCAGGTATTAAAATAGGACTTTTAATGATGATAGGCTCTAGGCTAGGCCTAAAGTGTAGGCTAGCCAGCCTTTGTTAAAGGGCACTTCATGAAATGGGGGGTTTGTTCAAACCCAACGAACCCACCTGGCTACGGGCTTGTAATACAAAAGCCCCCTGTTTAAAATAATTTTGGGTCCGCCCTTGTGTTGAGACAGTGCCTTATTACCATTGTTTATGTGTAATGTTTTAAAATGAGACTTTAATCAGTATAGTGCCCAAATGTTTAAGCTTGTGCATGTGCAAAAGTCACCAATGCAATCTATTACAATGCACGGGAAATGCCATTGTAAACATGTACAATATTGTAAATCGTATGTGAAAGTTGCTTGATCGATTGATTTAAATATATAAATTGCCGGAGGTTAATTGGAGCTTGTATTAGTATACCAAACTCAAATGATGATGTAAACATGTACGATGGACAGAAATATTTGTGTGTTAAGTAATATATAATTATTTTACAACAGTATTCATATTGTATTAAAGTACACATAGTTCTGAAACAAACTTTTGTTGTTGATTGAAGTAACTCATTCAAAATGACGAGACATAAATACAGTTATAAATAATTATATTATTTCACACACAAATATATTTGCCCATTGTACATGCTTACATTGTCATTTGTGTGCACTGTAATTAGTTTACATCTGATACTTTGAAAATGCTTGCATTTTCACAAAAAATAATATTATTATTATTTCACAATGCAAACCTTCAGACAGTATTTATATTGCCTATTTTAAAAAATCTGATAGCTGATAGCAAATATTACAACATGCATTTCCTTTTGGGATTCTAGCGACTTCCCATATTCCAGTTCAGGTCCATTGGAACCACACCAGCCACACCGGCTTACTTTTAAAAATACATTTAGGTATAAAAATAAAATAACAATATAAAATGTGTTATCACCACACCTCAGCCTCAACCAATGGGGCTGAGGTGGGTGTCTTTGCCCCTGAAGTTGGCCTAAGGAAGCGGCACAATTTCTGGCATCCAAAATGTGCTCATCAACCATGTGGGGGTTGACTGGGTATTAACTCTAGTTCCCACAAACTCTAAATCCAATCTGCCTCTTGAGGGGGATAAGGGTAGTGGGTCTTCAGGGTTAAAACCAAATTTGTTAAGCCCCCTCCACCTCCATCCAGAAAGTTGGGAAACAATATCTAATTTATATTGGTTTATCATGTACATAAAAACAGGAAAAATGAGCTTGGGTCGTCAGTAACGCCGGCCCTGGTAAGGTTTCAGGGTGCGAAGCATGCTGGTCACCAGAGCCATTTTCAGGATTTTAGAGATCAAAAAAAAAAAAAATCAACAGAAATCAAATACAAATACAAAGATTTATTATAAAAAGAATATAGATATAAAGTAATAAAATCACTGTGTTTCGTCAATAGCCTTTATATGCACACGCTCAGTAGGCCTATCGCAGTCAGTGTATAACTGATATAACGGATACTGGTACTGGCCGGTATAAGCATGTACAATGCGCCTCTTCCTTGACGTTATAAAGCGCATTTCTTTTCCATTCATTGGGTCCACATGCTTTAAGTGTTGCTACGGTGTACGGTAAGAATTGCCCCGGAAAAAATGGCCCCGGTAAAAATGGCCCCGGAAAAAATGGCCCCAAGTGAGAGGTAGGTAAAATAATAATAATAGTTGGATTTGTAGAAAAAATGGCCCAATAATAAAATTCTGTATTAAAACTGATTTTTGAAATCATTATATGCATTTTTTTAAACTGAAATAATTTAGTTTTTAAAAGGAATTTAACATCAAATAAATTGCCATTTACATTTTACTTTTTGCAGAAATTACATATTCAATGATAAAATATTCAAAGATAAAAAAAAGCCATGAATAACACATTTTTTTTCCCATTTAAATGTTAAAAAATAGCAACAACATAATCAATAAATCAACATAAATCATGCATTTATTAATACTAAAATAATTTATTTGTGGCCAATTTCAAGGAAACGGAATGACAATTTTCCAGAAATTCAATCCGGGTATTGGTAAACCCCACAAACAATGAGTTTATATGAACATCAAATTATTATTTTTCTTTTTTTAGAAAAAGAGTTCTACAATGGTAATTAAAGGGTTTTGATGGGGTTTGCAGTGTTTGTAGGATTGTGGTGTATTTGCAAGTATTTTTTCACCAAAAAAAATCAACATTTTAACCAAAAAATAGGTTCTTATAAATATTTAATTTTCTTATTGATATACCAGGTGAGTCAATCATAATTTAATTGTTTGGTTTTCTACAGTGTGTTTTAGGAGGTTTTGGGATTTAGCAATACCATTTGATCCTACCATAATTACTTTACCTTCACAATTACACGCCATTTTAATTCTTAGCATAATTGCCATATTTACATAACTATGTATATAATATAGTATCTCAGTTTACATTATTTAGTATAGTCTTAGGCACTTAAATTTACTTGGCAGGGAGTAGAAACCAAGTATGCAATTAAATAAGCTGCTTAAATAAATGTATTCCTAATTATTCAGTTTACTTTAAAAACAATATTTGATTAACAAACACTTCTTTGAAGTAACTCTAGGCAGAGCATTTGTTGAAGTAAAGTTAACCTCCCTTTTCCCATATATGAACTTGTCATTCAAACACACAATTGATCCACATGATTTAACTACTGTTTTATTTGCACTGTTTATAACATGTAAAGTTATTTCATTTGATACTTAACAAAAATGAATTTTGTGGTTATCTATGAGTTGCATATTTTGGTAGTTGAAGTACAGTATGTATGTCATTCCTCTATACTTTGTTAGTGCAATAACGTTTTTAAAACTTATTTCAACTATAAAAAATGTTCAATGGCCGTTGTTTTCTGATAATCTCTCAGTACATTATTTGCATCTGTTGTGTAACTGTATTTGTTATTGATTCAATTCTTGCTTATTACAGTATTTAAATATTTGAAAATTAAAAAAAAAAAAATCATTTCTATTACTGAATTTTTTCATTGGGGCCATTTTTACCTACTTGTCATTTGGGGCCATTTTTATTGGGGCCATTTTTACCGGGGCCATTTTTTCCGGGGCCATTTTTTCTGGGGCCATTTTTTCCGGGGCCATTCTTACCTACATTCATTGCTACTGCTAATCAGGATTAAAACCCAGATGTCAATTTTTATTCTAAATAGTGTAATTTTTTAACTTTGTAAGCATTTTAGACCTCTATGCCAAATACCTGTACTAGTAATTTATTTTACTGTGGACAAAAAAAAATTAGGACTACACTACTTATTGTTACGCCTGCCAACGTGGAAGCCAAACAGAAAACATTATTATTTTGCAATTTGTACAAGGTATATTCTATACTTCATCATTTGATCTTTAAAATGACACCATGAAGGCGTCGAAATGTCGATCTTTTCTTTTTAGCGTTATTTTTATATTAAATATTTCTACAATGTATTCCATTATTTATGTTGGGCGATGCACTACAAAAATATTCTTTTGAAAACTTATTTCTAAAGCAACTGAATTATCGGAATGATCACTACAAAAATACTCTTTTGAAAACCTATTTTTAGCATTTTGAATTATCAGAACTATTGTGTTCAAGAAATGCCACTGATGAAAAGATATCCACCTGCTACCTATTTTCCTAATAATTCGTTTGTTTGTTGTTTTTTTTTTTTTTTATATAGAAAAACCAGAAAATCTTATCTGTATGTTTTGTTGTACGATAATAAATTGGCTATCATAAAGCCTGGGCAGAATTTTAATGGTTATAGAAATAAAAATGTAGTTTACCACAGGAGGCCTTTTGTGGTTTACTGTCACCAACCATGGTTTCACTTTGCACTCATTAATCCCACATGATTCGTACCATGCCGTAGTCATCGTTTTCATCATCATCATCAACAACAACAAAATTTATCTGATTGATTGAAGCTCTAGATCCGCCCCTAATATTCTCTGATTGCTAGTGGGAATCCATCCCATATGACATCATTTGTGTGATACCCAGCGTGAGCTCTGGATCCGCACTTGAATGATAATAATGTAATACTTAGATAGTAAAATATGAAATGTGATCACTTTAAATTTTTGATTAAATTTTTCAAGTGTTTTAGTTTATCACAGATGGTTTCTCTTAATGCCATTAATCTACTACAATAAGTTCTCATGAATTTGCCTTATATGGCAATGAATACACATTGGGATCTTCTTTTAATGTGATTGATAATGAAATGTACATGTAGGTCAACTCCAAGACACATAATGAAGTACAAATGACTTGTCCTAAAATCATCAGATACCATTGTTGTTTAGAAATGATATTTGATTAAATTTTAATATTATCATAATTTAAATGCAAATGTAAGTATTTTCACTGATTGCCATCACAAATAAATTCCAAATAAAATAATATTTCAACATTTAATTAGACCATTAGGAATAAAATTCCATATTTACAAATATTCACCTGAAGAAGTGCACTGTGTGCACGAAAGCTTGTGTACTGTCATAAATAAACTAGTCATAAAAGTACTGAATATCATGAGTTTTATTTTCTATTATATATTAGACTAGTACGGCTTATCTATTTTTCATATTTACAAATATTTATACCAAAATATTTACAGAAAACAAACCAAGGGAACAATCAGGGTTCTCAAATTTATATGAGTGTAGGGAATTCAATAAGATTAGAAACCATGGGAAATGTACCAAAAGCTATTCATAAAAAATGTACATTAAAAATTATTTTACAGTATTATATAATACTTTTTTTTATCACAGGATCGGAATATGAGCCTTCTCCAAATGAGTACTATCCTCATAGATCAATTGCGTTGACGTTACCCAGTGCTCCAGCGTACACATTTGGATCCAGGCACACTGGAACATGTACATCCATCAGGAATACAGACCGTAAGTCTTACTTTTAAAAAAAAAATTATTTAATAAATTTTAATTGTACAAATTTACGATTTTATATTAGACTAGAATGTTTATGTGTTTATTCATTTGCAAAGAAAATATTTTCTAATGTTCGATTGAAAGCTAATAATATAAGAGTGCTATATAAATATAATTATTTTTGTTATTATTATTATTAATATTAATGTAGGCAAATTCAAATATTTAATTTTATTTCTTGTAATTTTAAGCCCTATAAATTTGTTGCTCTATACTGTTGATATTTTTTGTTTTAGCAAACAACCCTGGTCCTGGAAATTACACTCCACAAATCAAGTTTATGTCAACGAAACGACATCGACCATCCTTTACAATCAAAGGTGTAAGAGTTCCCAAGAGTCACATGCTGGGACCACATGCAACACTTTGAAAAATAGTTAGAGCTGTCATCATCTATTTACTTAAATTGATGTGCTTTAAGCAAGAGAGAGGAGGCATCATTCCAGGGGCAGAAATGTCCAAAAGGTGGGGGGGGGCGGAAGGGGGGCCGAAAGTTGGGCCGATTGAGACAACACTGTCGTAGGGGGTCCGGGGCATGCCCCCGCGAAATTTTTGTGTTCTAAACGCCCGAACATAAAATTTGAGGCATTCTGGGCTATCATTTTTTTCTTTTTCTCTCTTTTTTTCTTTTTTCTTTTCTTTTTTTTACCTCCCAAAAGTGGGGGCCGGGGCCCCTGCATTCATTCGTTCATGTGAATGCATAATCACAGGGGCTAAACTGGTCTAAATGTAGCTTCCTTTAGCGAATGCTCGTGTATAATGAATTCTATAGTTGCTGTTATCCGTTGACTGGAACAGTCGTAGCATGGTCACCAACAAGTAGGTTTACAGCTCCTTAACAAGGAGTCATAACATCGAATGAAGGTGATTGAGAGGTAGTGAAATAGTGAGGACAAGACATAAGGCCTACAAGCACCACATTAGAATGACAGTAAACAACTCAAAGTGAAGGAACAGAAACAGAAATATAAGCAAACAGATGTTTTCTCAAACTTCTAATAATAATTAATACCAAAAATGCTAAATTAGCATGCATTTCATCATGGAATGCAGATTAAAAATTGAAAGTGGATTAAGAGATATTGTTGTTTTGCCCCAGTTATATTTTGGATAAATGGAGTTGATAATGATCAATTTGCAATGAACAACGTCTGACTAAACATCTAAAAATGACCTTTACATGGGTTAGTGCAAGGGGCACCTGCAGATGGTCATTATGCATCATCAACCTCTAAGTTAGCCCATTCAGTCATTCCTATAATGAACCTGATTAAAGCCATCTAGACCAAATTTGTGTGATTGATTTTGGTGTTACATTTACGAAATCGACCACCTAACTCATTGATAGTGCATTTGTTCTTACAACACAACTTTTTGTTATCAATGTACAAAATATACACAAAAAAACCAGTATTTTCTAATTTTACGAACAAAACAATACGAAAATCTTGTACTAATCCTGCCTAAACATGTCCATGTTTAATGCCTATTTTGGCATGCAAAATGTTACCTATGCCTACGTTTACTAGATACCTTTTCTATACCTCTTTACATTTCTGTGCTCTTTTACCTAAGGATACACTTGTGGTAGCTTAAACAAGTAACCTACTTCCTATTTCTTCTTAGTTTCTTATATTGATATTCAGTATTAAATAATATACAAAAGAAAACATTTACAAAGGCCAGGCACATACAAATATAAGGAAGTAAGAAGTTTCAGCATTATATCATATATATCAACATTATAATGAAACTCGGTATAAGTGTGCCAGATTTTAATAGTTTTAAAGTTTTATATGTATAATATATGTGATCGTGTTTCTTGAAGTGTTGTTAGATGATGATTACGATAATGAACTAGCTGCTGTATAATTATAGGTTATATTGTATTTTTAAATATATACTTCCTGAGGTCAAATAAAAAAATCACCTTCATGTAAATCACTAAATTGCTCATTTACTGACCGAAATATATTTTTGTACGAAAACTTTAAAAATGTCTATGTGGATGTAGTAATTCATTTTTGGTGAGTGTTCCAGGTCTGTTTCTCTTTTCTTTTATGTATTTTAATATGCATTTAGGCTATTTTGTATTGTTAAATAGTCCTACCCTAAAATACCCTACTAAAAAATTCTGGTATGAATTGCTCATTTACGGGTCAATATTTATTCATTACACCGAAAAAAAAAACAGGTTTTGGGAGAAAAAAATGTTGTAACAAGGAAACTTATTGTTCTGGTAATTGCTTGGTGTTTGTCACGGTTTTATTTTGCACAAGTATATATGATGTGTAATATACAATTGACGAGTACAGATTTATCTTATATTTAATGGTTTGTATTTTCTGATAAAACATAATTAAATACAAAAACGAGCTTATTATTGATATTCAGTTAATGTTTTTCTTTAAATATATATGTATATATACAGCTATTGTAGGGCCTACGGTATTTATTGATATGATGTGATGATGCATTTTGGTTAATAGCTGTACTTCACAAACCCCGGCCCTGGGTATGAACCAATAACATACAGTAGGCTACACAGCTACACAACTTTAATATTGTAGATAGAAATTTTGTGCTAGCTTTCGACTGTAGTGAACTATTCCATATGCCACACATTAGGCTCTTTAAGGACCGATAGAAATTAGTGTTCCCAAGTGTCAAGTTATCTGAAATTATGCCTATTATGTCATATAGATGACATACACAGATAAACACCTGTCAGTTGAAAACGCAGGTCGTACGAACTAGGCCTATTCCTTTTGCCGCATCAACTTAACTACCACAAACGTCTTTTGGAACAAACTTTTTCGGTAAGTCCTCTTGTTTTGAATTTTATTGAAAACTGTGGATATATTGTAAATTATACCGTGCAATTATATAGAATAGCCACCAACCACATGTTAGACGGCTACGACAACCGTGACGATAATGATAATATTAAATAATGATTATAAAGAGACGTAGAATTGTCAAACACCATAACATACTGGAAGCGGCAATAGGCCATCTTGGTAGAAAGGTCTCTTGTTAGAATAAATAATTATGTATTTATTTGGCATTGGTATGTGTTTATAGTAACACAAAAAGAATAGGCCTATTTCCCTTTCCCACGAGAACATGTTTCACGAACAATCGATCTTCAATATTATGTTTGTTGTGGAATTATTGTAGGCTACACTATAACATAATGGTGGTATTGATTTTTTGACATAGGGATTTCACTACCATTATTTTTTAAACTATTCTACATAACTTTCATTGATTTGTTATTAGTGGTACGGTTGGCAAGTGGGACAAAATTCTGTTGACATAAATAGCAATGTCCCAAACAGCGCCCCTTATACAATGGGGCTTTCGATGATATATATTTGTCGCGGTTTTGAGCCGACTGTGGTAATCAGACGAGTTCTTTCGATCTGAACTGTCCACCCCAAATGATATCACTGCGACTACTGATGTTGCGTAGAAATTGAGTGAACATGACATTTTGATTGTATTTATGAATGCAGCTCTGAAGTGAATCACAACCAGCACAGCGAGAAAGATGTTTAGAATATGCTATGGCTTCTGTATTTTTCTACATAGGCCTGTAACAGTACATAACATATTTTTTTTATAAGTAGGCCTATGTAGAATGCGTTAGAACCATATTTTTTTTATTTTTTTTTTATAAAACTTTATAATTCCCTTGTTTATCGGAGGCCCCAAACAAAGACATAAATTATTCTACTTTACACCAAATATTTCCACACCCGAGGATGACTGGCATCTGATACCTATGTAAGCTTAGGTTTATAATAAATCGTTTAAAAATAAAAATGCACCGTATATAAAATCTATTTTGACAATAACATGGAAACTCGTAATAGTGACTATACTGTTAGTCAAATCATAGTCAAATGAACAATTTTTAAACCACTTTATCCTGTTTTGTTTCTTGTAGCGAAGTCTCTGTTAAGATTCTGCATCATACTTGTCTGGCGTCCAATACTTCCTTCATAACCTTCTGAGTAGGCTTACATGGTAGTCTGTGGGGCAGTGGCGTATCTAGTGGGTGTTCGGGGGAGCACGCCCACCCCTCCCCACCAAAAAAGGAAGCTCGCGCCCCAGTCGCCTAGCACCCCCTAACATAATCAGACCCCCTCCCTCCATTTTCATTACTTTTGTGAGAACTAAATGGTGTTTCTGGTTCCATTGTTCGATTCATATTTAAAGAGGTCTGGGACGCGAAAGAGTGGTGGTTGATATTCCTTCAGAGTGTTTGCATTTTGTTTAAAAACATTAACAAACATTATTTGTTGTAACTGTTTTTAACTGAGTGTCTATGAAATGACAGTACCTTGCGGTAATATGGGTTTTCTAACAGAAAAAGAAAACAAACCGGTTGGACTTGGTTCGGTAAAATAAAAAGTAGTAAACACAGAGTACGGTATGTCTAAACTCAATTTCAACATCCTATGTAATACTAAATGATAGTTGTTCAACGAAATTTAAGTGCTCTGTGTGAGCGTGTTCCATCGCAAGGCCGGTCCACTGGCCGTCGGTGGGAGTCTTATCTGAGATGATCGTCGTTTTGAACGATACATTCGTGAAGACGAACGAAACACTGCGCGTCGTTGCGCCGAGTATGGTACCGGTATGCGTCGACTTCCTCACTTTCCACAGTATGCAGTCTTATTTTGCTTATTCTTTTAATGAACAGTAAAGTGGCAGCATCATCGGCTCTATTAGGCCTATGTCCTATGTTATGAAATTAATTTTTATAATTAATGTGGGTGTTAAATCCGATACGAATAACAGACTGATCAATAATATCTTCTACAGGCTAACTGACGATGATCAGAAGTGCAGCCCTGTTTACGTTGGTGAATACATTCTTCCTCAGCCAGTTGCAAACAGTTAACGCCAGCGCTGATGTTATCAGAGTCCGTAGTTGCCGTGTAGCAGATATTCAGGTTCAGCAGAACTTTGACTTGGATCAGGTGAACCAGTATATTTTAACGCGCTTCCATTTGCACCGTGGTACCCTTGGATCAGAAAATAGCTCTGTGTACAAGTGGCTTTATGCTCGACCATAGGAAAATGATATAGCTTCTCATGTGGACCAATATGTATCAAGGCATAATTTGTTATTAAGCCCTATTATGAGTAAGATAATGCATCGAACAAAAATGATAGTAAACTAACGCTCTTTTCAATAGTGTTATAAAAAGATATGTATATATCGTTCGTTAAAATCGTTTAACTTGATTGTACCACCTGTTAGTCAAAAAATTAGTGTATTCACAAAGGTGGTTTATAACAATAGAACTTTACAGGTTCATTAGGTACACCCAGCGGACACAAATCATTCTTTTCCATTTACCGACTAATATGTGTTTAATGACACGTTATAACCTGTGTTTTTATATCTTTTGTTATAAGTGCAAAGGTGTGACGTAGAAAATGTACGACGTCGTGGGCTACCTCAAAAACAAGTGTCTAACTATACATTGGATGGTGATCATGGGCTTTACATGCTAAGCGACGGAATTAGTGTGTAAGTAAGCCTACATTCCATCGCAAATTGTAGTCAGTTTTCACGCTTTTATATTACATGTTATAAAAG